CACGACATCCTCACAGCCAAACTTAAGAAGTATTGATTGGCTGATTGGACAGCGCGGTGGGTTGGGAACTGGCTGAATGGCAGAATTTGGAGAGACCACTCTGTGATTCTGCAAAAGGGGCTTGGTGAGCACCTTCAACTCCTCCCTCAGTACCCTTGGGTGGATCCCATCCGGTCCCATGGACTTGTCTAGATGGACTAGATGGTCTTCACAAGTCCCTTGCAGCACCTATCATTCTGTGATACTGTGATCCTGTGATCCTAAAGATCTGGTATGTAAATCACTGACTTGTCCCATACCCGAGACTTCCTCAAACTCTCATTTATTATCTTCACCAAGGATTTTAGCTTTCCATAGAATCACAGAAAGGTTTGGGTTGAAAGGTACCTTAAAGATCAAGATCATCCAGTTCCAATGCCCACTTCCATGGGCAGGGACACCTCCCACCAGCCCAGACTGCTCAATGCCCCATCCAACCTTGCCTTGAACACTACCAGGGAGGGAGCATCCGCAACTTCCCTTAACAACCTATGCCAGTGTCTCAACACACTCACAGTAAATAATTTCTTCCTAATGTCTAATCCAAATCTACCTTCTTTCATTTTGAAACCATTACCCCTCGTCCTATCACTCCATGCCCTTGTAAACAGTCCCTCTCCATCTGTCTTGTAGGCCCCTTCTGATACTGAAAGGCCACTCTAATGTCTCCTTGGACCCTTCTCCACACTGAACATCCCCAACTCTCTCAGCCTGTCCTCATAGGAGAGATGCTCCAGCCCTCTGATCATCTTTGTGGCCTCCTTTGGGCTCACTCAAACAGGTCCATGTCCTTCTTAAGTCACGAGCCCCAGAGATGGATGCAGAACTCCATGTGGGGTCTCACCAGAGCAGAGTAGAGGGTTGAGAGCTCTGAAATAAACAGTAGTGCCTCTCACTAAAAGCATTGTTCTATTTTTTATCTTGGTTATTGATTTGCAAGTGTGGTAAGGAAATATTTACATCAAGTACAGAGATGAAAAGCCAGAACTCACTGTAGTCAATCACAAGTCCCAAGAAAGTACACTACATGTCTTGCTAAATCAAAGCAAATGACAAAGGCTTTTTTTTTAATTATTATTTTGATTGTTTTAATCAGTCATTGATTTCATCCTAAAAGAAATAAGATCCCACCTTCCTTGCTCAGCCAAAACTGCTGGAATTGGTGAAAGTGGAGTCAGCAAGAGGGCAACAGTAAACCTTAGCCCCCATGGTTGTACCAACTGAAGATGTAAAGCCCTTGAATCAAAGTTTCCCTTCTCAGTGCAGCCCTGTGTTACATTAGATACAACAGTAGGACTGCTAAGAGATACCTGACAGCACCACAACAAGAGGGTGTGTTAAGAGAGGGTTTTATTTCTAAGTAACCTTGTAGCAAATTCAAACTCTACATGCATTTTAGAAAGAATCATTACACGCTCTTGAGGAAAGTTCTGGCCAATATCCATATTTCTCATAGACTAATCACTGATGCATGTCAGCATGGGGCCTGACCCGTTCCTTTTGCCTGACCCACAGAGCTGTGTCCCTGGCAACAGAGGTGGTGTTTGTCCTTGGGAATGAATTGGAAAACCTCTGGTGTTGTGTGGAGCTGCGCTTTAGCGTGCAGCGCACAGACAAACACGTGCGTGCTTGCTGTCCGTGTGTCTGCTCCATCTTGTCTTTTCCAATCTGCCAAGGCGGAGTGCATGAGCCGTAGTAGCAGTGCAGATAACGTGGGTGCTGGGCTTATGAAGTGTAAGCTTTCCGAGGAAGGCAGAAGGCACAGATGCTCATATGTATTGGCCTGGCGTGTTGGGTAATTTAAAGCCATTTGACACATGAGATTTCAGGAAATAACTTTTTCCTACCCAGAGGTTTTGCATCACTGTTTTAGCCGTAGCAGTCCCCGAACCTTTGGAATTAAGTTGTTCATTGGGTTATAGCTGAAGCTGGTGATGGGAGTATCAGTATTTGAATTTGCAAGCCCTGTGCTGAAGCATGATTATCCCATGCCGTCAAAGCGTTTCATGATCTGGTACTTTTACCTCCTGATCCACCAATTTAAGTGTGTTAGATCCAATTCAGATTTATAGAGTAAGTTATCTCTGTTTTTTTTTCTTTGTTGTAGTGTTGAAGTTGATAAATAGAGAAATATTTCCGAGGTGAAGACTACAGAAAAGAAGAATGTGAACACAGACTTTTTACAGTGGTCCTACTCTTGGGTTGACTGTGTCCTGGTTATCTGATGGCTACGTAAAGGGGATGGCTGTAAGATCCATTCTCTGATGGACAGGGTTGTGGTTTCAGGCTACAGGAACATCTATGGGGGGTTATGGGTTAGTCTTACGTTGACAAAGCATGATGGTGACTGCCAGGGCAATGACGAGAAGGAGGCAGGCTAGTGCCAAGAGAACCCAGATGAAGATGTCACAGCAGAAATTCAGCTCTTTGTCCTCGGAGGTCTCTGCAGGAATAGAGAAGAGGAAAGGTCCACTAAAGTGCCCACAGCTGGTGTTATGGCCAGCTCTGGTGGAGCCAAGGCTGCAGACTTAGGACCTGTCTGCATTCAGCGAGGCTGGTGGTGAAGCACAGGGCTTCCCCTGACACATTAGCAATGTCCGCAAAGGCATCATGGGCCTTTCTTGTGTCCCCCTAATACCACCATCAGCCACCAAGACTCTTCCCTTCCTCCACCTCTTCCCAGTGTACCCAGGCATGAGACGTGTTCATGCTTTTTACATCATCTTGAGCCTTTCGTACATGTGATGAAACACGGGCATTCAGTTCTTCTAGCTGCACGAACCCAGTTATCCCTTTCTGATAAGGCTCTGAGGATTTCCACCCTCTCCCCACCCTAAAATGCCTCTGTATCAGTGGACCAGAACTGAGCTCTTCCCCTCTCCTTGCCTGCAGCTGCACTACCTGGATCCTACCTGGGTTCTGCAGACAGTGGTCTTTTTTGGTGATTAGTGCTAGTGAGGTTGTGACTGTGAATGAGAATGGATTAATACAGGATGTAGG